TAAAAACGAAGAGGTTGACCATTCATGAGATTTATCCAGGATTTTGGATAACTCCATCTCTTAAGATTCAAAGCAGAGACTGTGAACTGAACTGGGCCTTCTGCCGTACGTTCGAAAAATAAAATCAAAAACAATGAAATGAACTACTAACTTCCCATGACTCAGCAATTTCTGATAGCCTCTGCAGCTCCTACGACTCACTTTCTCCAGGTTGCCTGGGATGTGCCCAGAGCATCCCATTTACTGTAGCTGGGTCATCTGGAAATCTGAGCTGGTCTCCCAAAAGAATTTATTAGAAGTACAGGGAAGAAAGCAAGTAAACCCTAATTGGCCTTTTATAGAACCTGAAAGTCAGGTAGAAATTCAGGACGCTGGCTACACTTTAGCAAAGCTGCCCATCAATCCATTCTTCCATGAATGGTTTGCAAAACACAACCCTGATCAGTAACACAGGACACAGGGGATATTTCTGTCATATTGGAACCTTGTTTTGGATTTTTTGAAAGCAATCAATTTTTCCAGATTATCACCATATATTCTTTTTATGTTCTGTTAATTTACTCCATTTTGAAAATGTCTGACGGGCTTCTAAGTGACTGTGTTGTAGAATTCAGATCCTAGTTGAAGCAGTGATCGTTACTGCCACTGTGTGGCAATTTATGGAAGTGTTTATAAATAAAACCTTTATTGAGAGCTTTTGATCTTAAAGGTACATGACCGTGACATGTACCCTAGTCTCCATTGTTCAAACAACCTGTATTCATTTCTCCAAGGATAATATCTAATTAATAGTTAATTGTTTGGGCCGGCGCTGAGACATAGCAGATAGAACCGCTGCCTGCAGTGCCAGCATCCCACATGGCCACCAGTTCAAGACCTGGCTGCTCCATGTGGGTGCAGGGGCCCCAAGGACTTGGGCCATCTTCTACTGCTTTCCCAGGCCATAGAAGAGAGCTGGATGGGAAGTGGAGCATATGGGATGCCGGCACTTCGGGCTAGGCCGTTAACCCGCTGTGCCATAGTACCGGCCCCTCCAATGGTTCACTTTCCAAATGCCTGCAGCAGCTGGGTTTGCCCAGCTGAAGCCAGGAGCTGGGTCTCCCACATGGGACAGGTTACTCAAGTGCTCAAGCCATCACCTGCTGCCCCACAGTGTGGGTTAACGGGAAGCTGGAATCAGGAGTGGAGCCACACATGAACGGGGGCACACTGATACGCTGTGAAGGCATGCCAAGCTGTCTCACCCACTACATCAAACACCTGTCCCTATTTTACAATTAAAAAATCTGAGCGGATGCATGAAAGACACGCACATGCACACACACACACTATGTATATCTTAGGACCGGGTTGTGGCATAGAGGGTAAAGCTGCCACCTGAAATACCAGCATCCCGTAAGAGTCCCAGCTGCTCCACTTCCGATCCAGCTCCCTGCTAATGCCTGGGAAAGCAGCAGAGGGTGGCCCAAATGCCTGGGTCCCTGCACCCACATGGGAGACCCGGAAGAATCTGCTGGCTCCTAGCTTCAGTGTGGCCCAGCACTGGCTGTTGCAGCTATTTGGGGAGTGAACCAACAATTGCAGGATCTTTCTGTCTCTCCTTCTCTTTCTGTAACTTTGCCCTTCAAATAAATAAAATAAATCTTTATGTACTTACAAAATATGCATATGTGTGTATATTTGTAAACACAAAGCTAAATATACATCAAGGATCCTTAAAAATAGAGAGGGAGAGAAACAGGGAGAGAAAAAGAGAGTGAGAAAGAACTCCTGTCTGCTAGTTCATTCCCCACATGCTTCAGATGGTTGGGGCTAGGCCAGGGCCAAAGTCAGGAGTTGGGAACACAATCCAGGTCTCCCATGTGGGTAGAGGGGACCCAATTACTTGAGTTATCAGCACTGCCTCCCAGCATCTGCATTGCCAGGCAGCTGGACTTAGGAGCCAAAGTGAGCAGTCAACCCCGGGAACTCTGATATGGAAAGCAGGCGTCTTAGCTGCTGGGCTACCCATCAGCTCCTTGTTTTAATCTTGATGTGGTCAAACTATCAGACTTAATGATTTATAACTTTGTGTCTTGTTGAGAAAACTTCAAACCTAAGGTCATTACTCCAATATTTTTGAATATGTGTATCACATATTGTCGACATTTGACTTCTTAATTAATATCTTTTTTTCATGAAATAATGTATAAGAAATTCATATCACAGGTAACAATTACTCCAGCACCTTTATTCTTGGATGTTATATTTCCCTCTGACTAGAAATGCCACATACATTTCTATAACATGCAATAAAGACTGTCAGTATGATTGTGAATTTTCATGTAGTGCCAGTAGTTTTACTTTGTAATTTTGAAGCTATGTTGTTAAGGTAGAATAAAAGGTATACATGCCAGCGCTGTGGCATATCGGGTAAAGCCACTGCCTGCAGTGCCGGCATCACATATGGGCGCTGGTTCAAGTCCCGGCTGCTCCTCTTCCAATCCAGCTCTCTGTTGTGGCCCTGGAGGGCAGTACAAGATGGCCCAAGTCCTTGGGCCCTGTACCCGTGTGGGAGACCCGGAAGAAGCTCCTGGCACATGGCATCAGATCGGCACAGCTCCAGCCATTGTGGCCGTCTGGGAAGTAAACCAGAGGATGGAAGACCTCTCTCTCTTTCTCTGTCTCTGTCTCTGTCTCTCTCTCTCTCTCTCTTTCTGTCTCTGCCCTCTCTTTAACCCTGCCTTTCAAATAAATAAATAAATCTTTAAAAAAAGGTGTATATATTTATCATTTGGTGGATTGTTCCTTCTGTTAATACAAAACACCCATCTTTGTCTCTCTTAAGACATATTTTGTACAGAATTATATTTTATTTGATATTGCTATTATAAACTATCTTTTTCCCTTATAATTATCAGGTGTACGTTTACTCTATTTGATCCTTTTCTCTATTATTTTCAAATAAGCTCTTTCAGATAGTAGATGACGGATTTTCTAAGTTAACACATGAATGTCTTTTTATTGTTAAATAGAGCCACCCACAGTTATTGTCATCACTTGTGGTTTCACACATCTATCATATTTATTTTCAACTTATCATGCTGTATTGTAACAACCCTCCCTTATTAATTTTGTAGAATAAATGTTTTCTTTATTTTTTTCTGTTTCATGGTTTCTATATTATTTATTTCTTACATTCTAATAATATTTAATTTTTGATACACATGTAAACATTTTTCCATCAATGTCTAAAGTTAATCTGCATTCATATTTTACCCTAACCCCAGAACCATGCCAGGATTTAAAGTCAATCAGTCGATCACTCAATCATACTTTTCTCTTTTTTTATTCTTTCTTCCAGCCTATAAGTTCCAACCATACTGAAATTACTGGGACTTTAGTTTTATGTATTAATTTTATTTAATTAACTGATTTATTTGTTCAAGAGACAGAAAGAGAGAGTAACCATCTTTGGTTTCACTTCCTAAATACCCACAGCATGGAGCCAGGAGCCAGGAACTCAGTTCAGCTCTCCCACACGTTGGGCAGAGACCCAGCTACTTGAGGCAACACCCGCTGCCTCCCAGGTCCTGCCCTGGAAGGAAGCTGGAATCAGGAGCCATGAATCAAACCCAGGCCCTCTAGTATGGGACACACTCATCCTAAGTGGCATCTGAACTGCTGGGCTACAGGCCCGACCCACTAACATTAATTTCAAAGCTACATTTTAATAAAGAGTTTACAATAAAATACATTTACCTGCTCTTTTCTATGTCTTGGTGCGTACATCATCCATGGAATCCATGCATCCATGAGACTCCAAACAGCCACTATCAGTGGATTAGGGATGACACGAAGGACTTACTCACTCGAACAGTTATTCCATTTATTATTTTCCAGAAATGATGCACTAAGGGCCGGAGAACATCCTGAAGTGCCATATTCATTATTGTCACTACCCTTGCTTTTACCTAGTTCAAGGGTGTTCAGTTGGTGTCACCTCACTGACTCTCAAAAATTGTATAAGAAAGATTTTATTATTTCATTGTAGAGATTTTAGCTTTAGAAACACTGATTGACTAATTAACTTGATTTTTAAAATTTCTTCTTCCTCTTCCTTTGTCTGCACGTCTAGTACTGGCTCCTTCGCTTTGGAAGAGACCAATGTCTAGTATGTTTTATGGTTTTCCTGTTACTCAGAATAACACTTAACACTTACAGCTCAAAAGCACATTGCATACTGAAAATATCCAGATTCCAAAATATCTTTTGGTCTGGGTAACAGTCTAACAAATCCATTTGGAAGGAAAATTTTCATCGGAGTTCCTAGAAGAGAAACCTGCTACCCATTGCTGCCTGTCCAAGTGCCAAGTGTAGGGAGGATTCCATTTGACAACTTTCTGGCAACTGAAGGTGCCATTGATATTTTCAAGGATGAGGGGAAATTTTTTTTGGAAGGTGTCATCTCTATAGGCTTCCGTGCCATACGATTCATTGTAGTCAAAGCTGCAACCCCGGCTTAGGAGGTATAAGGAATGAAATGCTCACAGATTCCTCGTTGGACGTGATAATCACCAGGTAACAGGCTGCAAGGGAGAAGCAGTGGAGCATGGTGAGCAGATATTCTGAATCAGTGTCCCCCACAGTGAAGTCCATTCCACTAATATCTATTAAAGTGCTGTTAATAGTAGGCCAACTGCTAACTTTTTTAAACGTACATGGAATAAAGTAACTAAATATGTTTAGCGGTCAGGCACAATGTGTTATAGCTGTCGATTCAAACGAGTAGACAGACTCAGGATTCTGAAGTGATGAACCTTTAAATGGGCCTTCCGTGACTAGCAGTGGAGAGTGGCTGTGTGAGCAATAGGTAGAGAATGATGTCTTTTTCCTTCTCCTGATTGGACGCCCAGGAGGAATTGACATTCCAGTAATGTTGGATGCCTGACTGTTGTGTTGTTGGCACCCCTCTCCTAGTGCGTTTTCCAGTTCAACTCTGTGTATGTGATTTCCTGCAGTATTCAAAGGCAGAAAGGCATCCCGTGACTGCGTTGGAGAAAATGATGGAGTCAAGTTTTGCCGGCCCCCAGTCCTTCCCTGACATCCCTTCTCCTGACAGAGGAAGCCAATCTATCAAACACCACAGGTACAGGTAGCTAATCGTGCTGGTGGTGGTGGGTGACTTCATGCCGTCTGTGTGCTGAACAGCGCAAGCCAGGATGGTTGGTCTTGCTAGTCCTGTAAGTCCTTCCCGGAGGAGATGTGCAAGCAGCTCACAGCAGGTAACCAAACCTGCTGGCTCCCTCAGCAGGTCCTCTAAGAAGCCTGGAGAAACTATTAACAGTCCCCTTGCTTCCACTGAAGACACAGACCAGTGAATAAAACAATTGCTTTCTGGAAAGCTGTGAAACACAGGATTTTTCCCAGTCTGCCTATCACCATCTGCAAAGTTCATGACTAATTCTTCCCTAGGCACTTGCTAGGACATGCTATAGGTCTTTGAACCTAGTCCTCACAAAAGCCCACCTTTCGGGAGAAGGATTCTGGCAGATCTCCTTAGCTCTGTAAGATCTTCCATTATCAACAAAGTGGCCCTCTTTTGCAAGCTGATCGTAGAAACTACCTCTTTGGTAGAGAAATCCAAGCTTAAAGTTATTTGACATATTTCATGTTACTCAGAAGCTGAACGTGTTCTTCAAAATCTTTTAGTCCAGACTTTTGTATTTTATGCGTAAGAAATCTGTAACTCCAAACCAAACAAGGAAGCTTGCGAATAGTCCTGGAACAGGAAATATGTTTATGTCTGTCCCAATATATATATTCAATTTTCGTGAAAGTGGTCCAAAGATTTAAATATCCTTCTCTTAGCGAGTGGTGCTGCAACTGAAAAAAAAATTATGGAAAATTAACAATTTTAAAATGAAAGGTAAAAAATAACAATTGTGCTTAACAACAGAGAGTAAATGCTGTCAACTCTTTGTTTTCATTTCTGTTGGCAACACTTTGCAGTCCACCAACCAAGTCAGCAACACACATTGTAAAAGGAAATCAACCACCTCTCTCCTCTTAATGCGCTTCATGAAAAGGATTTTATTGTTCCTAGACACATTTATTTTGAGATTCGCAATTACTCTTAACACTAAACCTCAGCACTTGATGGTGATTTTTATTCTCATTCTACATGAATAGAGACTGAGATACCAAGGGCTCACTATTCTTTGTAATTGTTTAAATATCCTCCAGTCAAGATTGAAATATGTTTGGATCTTGGATAATGCTTTAGCTATTAACTTCCAGTTTTGGTTGTAGCAATTGTTGCATTTACAGAATATTTCCCTGTGAAAAAAGTACTTCATTTTGTTGGACCTAATAGAAATTATTTTAATTAGAGAAACAAGTCCAAAATTACCAACCTTTCAGGAGATGGATAATTTCTCCAAAACAGTATTTTTCCCTACTGATTATAACACATATCAAAGTAGTATTCCACCCAGTTGAGTAAAATAATTCAATATAATATTACCCTACCATTATATTATGCTGCAAAAAAAAATCACCGCCTCTGATATGTTTGAGCTGTAATACCTTTGCTCTCAGCTCTTGTCTATTTCTATGTTCCCTTCTAAATGTGGCTTCTACTCTGGATTCTAGAAGTCACTGCAGATTAATGAAGAACATCTTTAGGAGACCTTCCTTATTGTCTAGACCCATGACATGGCAATATCTGTTGGCATACATTGTCTCATGATAGATAGGCCATGGTTGATTTATAAAGTGGTTTTAGAACTTTGTAAATTATAGTTTCAAATATTGTAGTTTTTGTTTTGTAAAACAGGCAATAGCCCTAAATGTTTTCATGATTGATAACCCGGTGGCTGATTTATGCATCCTGCCAACTGCTCCATAACTTCCCAAATGCCACTGGGTTAGAAGGGCTGAATCACTGATTGATCCATAGGTACAGAAATGTTTTATAAGATGGGCCAGTACTTCATACTGGTAGACTTATTTGTTGCGACATTCTGTCAGTCTATGAATATTAATTTCTTCTTGTGTGCTGCAAATATGACTCATTTGGAGAACCCCTTGGTGAAACAAAACTCTTAATTCAAAGGCATCATTTCTAATGCTCAGTCCCCCATACATACATCCCCTAAAAACCCACCATTTAAAAAAGAAATCTATTATGACATATTATCCATATTGCTGCTTTTTTTTTTTTGACAATATAACTAACCTTTAGAAAGCACATATGTATGTTTTCTATAGTGAAAGAAGTCCAGGACTTTCAGTGATTGGGATAAAGATAGTCTTCTGTGTTTCTAGTTGTGGCAGAGCAACTAGGATACCTCATGGTGCTGAACACCTACTATGTGCCAGGCTCCATGCTTGACACTTTGTATTTCCATAGTAATCCTATGGAAACTTCAATAACTTAATGGAAAAATAGAATTGGTAGATGTTTACTGTGATGCAAAATGGTTTTGAAAGCTTTCTCGTAAGATGCATTTTTTAAGAACTTTCAAAAGACCCTTCATGCTTAATGAAACATAATGTTAAAGTCTGCCTTTGCCCCCTCCTCTCCTTACCCCCACCCTCTAGTCTCTACATTTTTTTGCCTTGCCCTGTGCACCAGGAGGGCTGTAGGACCCCTTGTCCTCTGGCTTCTGTTAGTTTAATGTGAGGCACAGGCAAGAGATGGAGGGGCAAGAAGTGAATGGGGTCCTCACACTTCTGCTGCTTTCCTCTTTGGCTGCCTCAGCCTTGTCCTCCCTCCCTGACTACAGAGCCTGCCGAATGGCCATCTCATAATGATTTCATTTCTCTCCATTTTAATGACTGCTCCTTCTCCTTTATCTTTCAGCTGGAGGGTTAGAAAGGGTTTCCCATTGTTCCCTGAGTATCTCTTAAAACTTTATGTCTCCTATAGCTTTATTTTTTTCCTCTCAAACACTGAATACCTCTTTATAAATAATTACATCTCCTCAAACGACCCAATGTAAAGTATCATTTGTTTCTCTCCAGAACTCTGGTACAAGAACCTCACATATGCCTGGTAATGAGACTACACCCTGGTGTGGCTGACCCTAGCATCTAAGCCCCTCCCCTGAATCCTCTGTGATTGCCATTGGCTGATGGATGGAAGTGTTAGGGGAAAATGACGGCAGAGAAATTACTACTTCGGTTCTTTGTATCGCATGGAAGAATAATTTCCAAGCAGACAAGCAGAGAGATTTAATGAAATTTATTAGAGTCAAAGACCTCCAGACAGAGAGACATGGAGGGGGAGGGGGTTCCCAAGAGAGGAAGGAATCCAAAGAACCTCCTAGCCCTGGGGTTTTTAAGTACAATTTTGAAGGGGAAAAAAAAAAACCACAAAACTTGACAATCAGATTGGCATTCAGTTGCCAGGCGGGGAGAACACCCATCAAAAGGCCTGATTTACAGTTCCCTATCCTGTCTGGCCTGCTCCTGATAAAACAGAAAACCGTCCAGAGGGGTGGGATAGGTAACTTGTTTTCACAATAAGCAATGAGCTCAGGAAGAGCTCCCCTGCTGTTTTCATGGCAAACTTGGAGATTCCAAGGAAGGAATCTCCTGCCAGGGATAAAGTTTGGGGGAGGAAGCAAATATTTCACACCCCAAATTCTATTGGGACCACCCTGACTACCTATTAACCCATCTGACTCCTCACAGAAGTAGGAGGCAGAGGGAAAGAATGGTGATTAGGGTCTCTTATACCTGTTGGCGTAGTGATCTACCTGGAAGTCCTATGTTGTTAAGAGTGTTGGCACTAAAGGTACAAACAAGGTCATGATAAAGAATGAAGGAATAATGATGTTGCCAGATATGATCTGGGGTCTGCACACATTCAGGAAGTCAAAGTTGGCTCGAGGAATATATTTGATCAGTCATCTTGCATTAGCAGAACAGTGGCTACTAGTACTCAAATGTGAGGCTCTCAAACTCTGACTTCAAGTGATATTTGCAGGGTTTTTTAAGTAAAAATTTTGTTATTTAGTAAAAATTACAGTAGCAATTAAGTAGAATTAGTAATAAGATTGATTGGAGAAAAGTGGTAGAATTCCTATAAGGGAAGGTTAAATTCCTTCGGGAGCTAGCCTCCTTAGAACTTGACAGATACATTTAAATTTTGAGACTGCTTTTTTCGTCTTTCTCTATGTGAGTCCATTGATATTCTTAGAATGAAATGAAAGTGCAGCCAAAAAATTTAGCTTATTTATTACCTACACACTGTGAAGTCGATTTGACTATATGAACTAATATGCCATGACATGTCAACACATGAACACAGTTCTCCTTACCAGGCTGAAGAAGGGTAAATTCACAGAGGTGAAGAAGGGAAGGATATGGAATACGTAGTGAGTCAAATTGGCAATTAATTTTTGGAGATTCTAGTTCTTTTGTTTTATATAATCTACAGAGGTATCCCTTTGTTAAGGTCCATGGTGTATCCCACTCATGCTCTTTGATGGCATCTACAAAGGTTTATTTGGGGATTTGGATGTGCATATGCATCAAATGAAATATATAATCAGCCATTTATTCAAAGCAAACTAAAGAAAAATAATTTTGTTTCTCAAGTTTGATGAAAATCTGGGGCAGTGAGCTGGGAACTTAACACATATGTTGAGGAGAAAATGACAAATAAAGTGAGATTTGTTTAGTCTCTCACTTACAAGTGAAAATGTTTCCATACAGCCCTCTGCTTCCTGTGATTAACTCTTGTGTGTAATAACAAGGCCATTTTTATCTATCAGAGAGAGAGTTCCTATAGCTTAGGTAGAGTGGATGAGAATTAGGGCTTGAGAAATTCTTAAGCTCATCTTTTATCTCTTGCTGGAAGTTATGATTATTTTAATCAAGTTGACCTAACTTGCCATTGTAGAAATACAGAAACTTCCCTTTGTCAGGGTCTCCAAAGGTAAATGGGTTAGGAGACACCTGGTCCCCTCCTAGCACAAATATTACATTCATGGATGGTCTCTGGCCCAGAACTTGGAGAATTGGGGGCTGACAATATGGAGTTTGAGAGTTTGAGAAACCACCTGTGAGATGATTGCTATGATCTCTTTTGTTTGTTGGTTTTTTGGTTTGTTTTCTTTTGGGTTTCGCCACAGAAGGAGTCTCTCCTCATGCTGCAGTCCAGGGCCAAGGAGTGGGATGCTCCACAGGAATGCCTTCAGAAGGACCCCGCCCTCACCCCGCAGGAGACTGGGTGGGATGATGGGACCAGCGTATCAGCAGCTTGAGGAATCAAGGATCCCAGACCAGGATACGATCTCTTGCCAAGGGTAGGTCTTAACAGCCATGGAATTTAGGAAGGATATCATCAATGCTATAGCCTTCCGTTGAGTTATATGTTTCTTGGGGTTCTATTTACTGATTTCTTCACTGGTTGGCTCTTTATGCTTCTTACTATCTCTATTACCCCAAAGATGAACCATCTCAAAGAAGAGATACGATGAAATGAGTTTTAGGGAAAAGAAATATAACACTAGGAAGAAAGCAAGTATAAATATATGTATAAAATGTTATTACATATGTTCTAAAACAATTGAGAATTTGTCTTTTATAAAAATAAGAACAGAGATGTCTTAGGAGGATTAAAGTGTTTTTTCATCTACCAGTAATTTTAGAGAACAATACTTATCTCTGATCATTATTATGAACAATGTCCTAAACAATAACCTATAACTTTTATATAGCATCTGCTTTCATTCAGCGTTCTTGAATGTGGAATTGAGAGCATAATGTCACAATAGAACTTACAGAACTCATGAATGGCCTTTGGAAATCAGAGATGCCACTGCTTACAGTGCAAATAATGTCCCCCCCCTCGGGTAGACAGAGAGCCCCACAGGGCTCAACACATGTTGAATTAGGTGTAGGATAGATCTTGTCCAGCATGCACTTTATTGATATAATGTCATCAACCAAACATCAAAGCCCTTATTGAACTGGCTGAAGTTCAAATCCCATCTTTGTTCCTTTTTTCTTGTATGAACTTGAGAGAATCTTATCATCTGAGCTTAAGTTTTCTCATCTATAAATTGAGTGAAATAACACCAGTCCCCTGAAGACTATTAGGCAGACTTAAAAAAAATGCACGTATAGAAAGCTTGCAGCTGACACATAAGCAGAGAAGTAGGACTGGTACTTATTGCCACAGGAGTTGTCATAACGTTATCATGAATTTCAAGAGCCGTGCATCCAGGCTTTGTTCCAGAAATTTCAATCAGTTCCCTTACCCACACCTGGTTCTTATTGCCTGTAGTTTTAGCTTTCTGAATGAACCAGGCCAGGTTGCTGTGCTGCTTTGGCCTTGGTTATTTTCCCAGATTGTCTCTGTCAAGCTAAAGAACAAAGCAGGTGAGAGATCTCATATAGAACTTTACCTGTCTCTTTTCTTCTGGGCACAGGGTATGCTGAGCAGTGCCCTGACAAAGCTTGGCAACAGATTTCTTTAAGACAAGAAGATAGGACATAAATAGCCTGTAGCCAGCTTGTGTAATTTTGAAATAATTCCAAATGGACTGTAAAATGCATTTGATACAGATTTAGGGCGACAGTTGTAAATTCAACATAACAGCCAAGTTGTCCAAAATGTATAAAGCAAGTCAAAAGCACTTAGCATTTCTCTTGGCCTTATTTCTGGCTTGCATTTAGCCCATAATTATAACTAATCGTGTTTCATAATTACTTTTCTTTATAAATCACTAATGATGCTGTTTAATCATTGGATCCATGTTAGCATGAGAAGAAGTAAGGGAAAATCAACTTTGGAGACTTTATGAAAGGACAGGGAACACATCCCATGCTCTTTCTTTGTGTTGGACACTGCTGTGGCCATATTCCAATGTGATGCAGGTGTAAAACCATGCATACACATGTCCTCAGGGGCTGAGAGATCCCCACTGCACGTTCAGGCAATGCTTTGCCTTCCTTCCACCTTGTGGGAGTCTCACACATAGTGTCGGCATGTTGGTGGCTTTGTTTTGGTTCAGTCATTATTGGGCTGGGAATATTCTCTCCAGCTGGCCGACCACATGTATTTTCCTGTGTGTGATATGCACCCGATGTTGATAAATGGTGATTCTAAGTGTAAGTCACTGTGTGCTCAGTACAACAAATCTCAGGGAGCAATCTCATTCTCAGTTACTGAAAACAGCTATTTTCTACTCCCAGGGGACTGACTGTCTCTCTGGACTTGAAATGGGGTCGGTAATAGAATTTCACAGCTAAAAGGCCCTCTTCAAATCTGGCCCTAACCTGGAGGGGAAGTGAATGAATTTGCAAGAGCCATCAGCCATCTGCTGTTTGTTTACTAAGCATGTGGGCGCTGTCTGCTAGTTAGGCTCCTAGTGTGTGGCTTCTCTTCTTGGCACAAACTTCAGCCAAGCTTGGACCAAACACCTCTCTTAGTGTAGTCTGGGGAAGGAGTAAAGTAGAGGGGAGATTCTGGAAGAAGCTTTCACTCGATTGGAGCCCTGGTTGGTGTCAACCATAGTAATGGTTCAGAAAACTTTGAACTGGGTCATGTCAGGCAAATCAAAATAATGTATGAATATGATGAATACAAAAAAGTCAAATCACAACAGATTTGCATCTTAAACATTGATGGGATCCAAAATATACTGAGTACCATCATACCTAGATAGTACCAGTATATACTTCACTTTAGATAGTCTTTAGACATTTTATAAATAAACACGTTAAGGACAACAGCCAAGATAATATGGGTAGTTCCGTGAAAGGGAGCCGAGTTTGAATATTGGCCTTTCTGACTGAATAAACCGCTAAACCAGGAAATAGCTGTAGGGAAAAAAAATCCCATTCATGACTGATAATGTTTAAGTGGAAGGTCTAATTGTATGTTTCCTTGAGGAAAACTGGATTTCTTCAATTTAGTCGATTTATTCTGAGGCCATATATGCCAGGAACTGGGTTTTGGAGTCCCACAGAGAATCATAAATTCCTTGGTTTGATGACCAAATTACTGGGAACTACTTGACTCACTGTTGGGATCTTTCTTCTTTAAGAAGAGTCTTTTTACTTACAGAGTTATAGGCAAATGCATCTGTGATTTCCTCTCAGAAGGACTGGAGAAAGGGCAGTCCAAACTCTGTTATAGCCAATGAATCAGACTCATGGATCAGACAAGTGAAAGAGTTATTGACTCAAGGGACACAGAACTTGGAGCATCTTCTACTCAGGATCACACATTGAAACTTAGCTCCACTTAAACTTCTGCTCAAGTCCAGTATGAGGGCCCTCCTAGCAGCTCTGAGGAAGAGGTGAGGATTTGCCACTGTGGCCCTGGTGGAACAACACAGAGACAGTGTTTCTATTAATCCTAATAGCAATCCACTAAGTATTACTTCCTGGTGGTTTGAACTGATAGGAAAAATAGAGTGAAGTTGCACTTTGCCTGAGATTCCAGGGCATGGTATGGCATGAAGTCACATCCAATCAACAATAAACTAACCTTCTGGGGAATTCTGTTTAAAGCCCATATTCTTGGTGTGGTAACATTTTCTGTTTCAGTTCTTGCCAGCCATGTGTCCAATAACAGATGGCTTGGAGAGTGCCACATGATAGTTGCTGAAAGACCTCCTTTTGATCTATGTCTTTAATTCAGTGCTCAGGTGTATTAGAAGAAAGCTACAAGTTTCTGCTTTAGTCGCCTTATCTTAGCCATGCCACATTACAGACTGTTGAAGCAGTGATTTGAAAACATCTTCTAGGATATGCACACGTGTGTCTAACATTTTTTATGGATAGTGTTCTGATGCAGCTACAAGAATGTGTTCCTGTCCCCATCACCTCTCAAGTTACTAGATTCTACCTGCTGATACAGTTTGATGAGATCTATATGGAACATAGTCTTATGCTAGCTGTATTTCTTGGCTCTGTTCCACTGGTAAACCTGTCCAGTACATTTTCTATATCTTTGTACACACTAATGATGCTAAGAGAATGATGCCAAGCACTAAATCAAAGAGCACTAGCCTTCGATTCTTCCCCTTTGTTCTTGTTTAAATTGATTCATTGATCAGAACTTTTAGGCTCAGATTTTTAGTCATCTAAGACAAAAGAGAAAGGAGTACAATCTCCAAGAAATGTCCTTGTGTGTGGCTGCACACTTTGTGTTGATAACGTTTATACAACCCACATAAATGTTCAGGTTCACCTTAGGGTATCATTTCATTAGTATTCTCTGGTTTTGATAGTCTTGATTAGAATACAGCAACTTGGGTTTAACTTCTTTTTCTGCCACTTACTAAAGGTAAAATTACGGGCAAGTCATTTGAAACTCCTTATGATATTTTACTCATCTGTCACAGCACAAAAATAATAAATAAGCCATAAGGTTTTAAAAATGAGGTAATTGAATGTGAAAATACTTTCTAAAATCACTCTACAAGTACTAACTTAATTGCTAAGTCTGAAAATGGATATTAATCAGGATGGAAGGAACATTTACCTTGACATCTGCTCATGTATTCACATGTTTGTTACATCAAGGTTTATTGATTGCCAACTCTATACCAGGCACAGTAAGAAGGTGTGGAATCACAAAGCCCTAAGTCTGTTCCCTCCTTGTTCATAGTCTGGTGGAATGGCAGGCCTGAAAATTGCCTCCAACATGATCGTAAAAGAAAAATTTCTATTAAGTATGCAACTCAGTCCATTGAAATAATTCTTTGCACAGAGATATAATTTTATTTATATTATTAAGTTAGTCATGCAATGAGATTTATTATCTTGAGATTAGATCTGTTTATATTGTGTTTTAATGTTCAATGAAAGACAAATAATTGAGAACTGAAGGAAAAAAAAAACTCCTGTTAAAGTTCCTAAAACACATTTCTAGTCATCTGCAACATACCCGTCCTAGTCTGTGACACTGAAAAGCTCAAAGTAGGAAAATTCACAAGCCCTGCACTGTTAAGAAAGAGGCCAGCCACACGCTGACATTTGCAAATCTCTTGGAATGGCGTTTTGGCATTCTTGACAAGCCATTGCCATGCTCCCATGAACTGTCTTTCACGGCTCCAGAAACAATGTGAGGAAAGCTACAAGACTGGCAGAGGCCCTACTGCACCCACTTCCTACTACCCCGGGCAGCTGAGGAAGCATGTGCCACCTGCCGCCCATTCCTCTCGCCAGGCTCAGCAGTCTCCCAGTGAGGCAGTGCCTACATGGCAGGATGCCAAAGGCAGTTGAATGTGTAGCCCCTAAAGTCAGCACAGAGCAGAAACACTCAGGAACGCAGTACCTCGGATGCTTACTATTGGGCTTCCCGATTGCCTCCAGGTAGGGTGGCCCCAACAAGTCTCCTGGACCAAGCTGGGGCTGAGGGGTGGTCGAGTTGATGGAGTGATGCCGTTATGGGGTTCCTGTTTGTCACTTTGGACAGGCCACACTTACCTGCTCAATCCCCATTTACTTTGTATTCTAGGATAGAGGTCAGGAAGACTATATCCCACCTGCCTTTACAGCTGTGGTGTGTTGAAAGACCCCTGGACTTAAAGTAAGAAGATCTGGGTTTGAGTCTCAGTCTGTCACTTATTTTCTGTGTGACCTTGGGCAAGTCACTTCCCCTCTCTGAGCTTCAGTTTACTTCTCTGTTTAACTGGGAACGTACTATCCGTCTCATGGGGTTGCTGTGAGAATTCAGTGAGCTGGTGCATGTGGAGAGTGCTTTGTGGATTGAGTATTGCCCCAATGCAGCACAGCAGGAGGCAGAACGTGTAACGCTTTTTTTTTCTTTTTCAGGTATTCATCCAATGGTTTAAAAACCCAACAAAATGCATCAATAAATATGCAACTGCCTTCCAGAGAGACAAATCCCTATTTTAATAGCTTGGATCAAAAGGACCTGCTGGGATATTCATCTACCAGGGCCAGTTCTGTGCCCATCATCCCTTCAGTGGGTCTAGAAGAAACCTGCATGCAAATGCCAGGGGTTTCTGAAGTCAAAAGCATCAAATGGTGCAAAAACTCCTACTCTGCTGACATTGTCAACGTGAGTATTCCAGTCAACGATTGTCTTATAGCAGAACAACAGGAAGTGAAAATACTGCTAGAAACTGTCCAAGAGCAGATCCGAATTCTGACTGATGCCAGACGGTCAGAAGACTACGAACTGGCCAGCGTAGAGACGGAGGACAGTGCGAGCGAAAACACAGCCTTTCTCCCCCTGAGTCCCACGGCCAAATCAGAACGAGAGGCACAATTTGTCTTAAGAAATGAAATACAAAGAGACTCTGCATTGACCAAGTGACTTGAGAATCTGTGCATTCTATGCTTTGCTCAACAGGAAAGAGAGGAAATGAAATACAAATTATTTATATGCATTAATTTAAGAGCATCTACTTAGAAGAAACCAAATAGTCTATCGCCCTCATATCATAGTGTTTTTTAACAAAATATTTTTTTAAAGGGAAAGAAATGTTTCAGGAGGGATAAAGCTTACACTAAAGCTTTTGGGTAGAATTCTGAATCCCATTTCAGTTAGTCCCAACGTGGTCCTCTTTGGCTCTCAGAAGATGTGGGCAATTCAGACCCTCCGTCCCACAGTGCCAGTGTCCTCATCAAAAAGCCCTGGCAGTTACCTAGTTTAAAGAGACGAGCTGAGTCCCGAGGGTGGACGTGCCAGTGAGCAGGTGGCCCTGGACAGCTGGCTCACCGGCCCCAGCCCCTGAATTTCTATTCAACCCAACAGCCTCATCCCAGGTTCTGTCATGTCGAGAAATGTGGTGTTTTCTATTTGATTTTTGAAGAATGGCACAAAGACTAAAATGGAAAGGACAGGAGACAGAAGGAGTAATTGGGGGGGGCAAATCTTAGCTACTCTTGTGCGCCCTCTCCCTCTGAAACGTGGAAGCACAGAATCTCAGGGGGAGATATGAAATTATTATAGAAAAAGAGACAAAAAAAATCCCAATGTCGTGTCGATAAAATCATGTTAATAGAAATGTTTTTTCTTTGAGATTGTTTAGAGGCTCTGAAAGAGCGTTTCTTAGTGTGCGTGTGTGTGCCTGTGTGCACGTGTGCGTGAGCGCGTGTGCGTGAGCTTGCTCACTCGAGCACATATGCTATATGCACATGTGTTCATTGCGCGTATGCGTGTGCATGTGTGTGTTTATTAAGCCTGCTCAAATTTGTCTGAAACATCAGGGAATCTAATATTCCGGAAAAAAAAAATTTCCCTTTTAGGTCTGTTCACTTTCAATTTTTCCATTAAGTACATAGCTCAGTTAGTAAGTTCCTAAATCTTGGTCATTTGCATGGTGGGGTCCTATAAAACTCGTGACGGTGTCGAGACCATTTTCTACCGTGAGTACTTGTGAGAGGAACAACTATGGGCTCTTTAAAGATATCAATATCACAAGGCAAATTATGTTTACTTTGAATCATGCCTACTTAAATTATTTACACAAGCCAATTATCAAATTGACCATTACTATTTCCTTTCTCATCATCCTTGTTGGCATTTATTTCATAGCAAGTCTACTATGTGTGGACCAACGCATTGGCTTCTGTAGTTAACATGCAAAGAATAAATTGCTGAAATCACAAAGCCCAGACTACTCAGTTCACAAGAAACCCCCAAAAGACAGTAAATTGTGTTGTGTGTTCATTTGGAATAAAGCAATATTTTTACCACTGCTAAGGTGAACTGAAACCTTTCCTGAAGACCTGTTTGTTTCATTTTCCTTTACTTTCACGGGGCATTCAAGGAAATTAGTGTTCACATTCCCAGTCTTTTTCCAATTATCGCTGGTGTTGAGTTGTTATGTTTACACTGTTTTAAATAAAAAGGCACAGTATTTGAAAGTTTATAAAAGATTTCTTTTACTGCAGTTCGGGAAAACGCTGGTTAAAATTTCTCTATGAAAGACTCATATTCCATCGAATGGGAATATAAATATTTCTGAATCAAGCAGTGGATATATACAATTCTTATTTCAGGTTTTGTCATTACTGTTGAAAATACATTTCAAATTGCTCTTAGAGAACATTCATTAATAATAGACATAATGCCATCCAGGGTAAAGAAAGAATACTATGTGTTTATTATAACTGCTTAGTAGAAATTCAAGGTCTTAAATATTGAAAACTCTTTGGTGAAAATGCATTTTATACTTACCCGAAAATTGTGTGATATTTATTAGTTGTCCCATAATATTTCTATTGTGTTGAATATAGAGGTAATATTGTCAGAAGGTTAAAAGTTTATTATAAATGTTAATGGCTTTATCACTCAAGTTCTCATTTTAAAATATTACATATTTGGGGAGATTTCAGGCAGAGGACTTTAATGAACAAGTATAAAAAACCCCCTAAGTGGAGCATCCAATATTTTGTGGTGTAGAAATTTATCATAATTATCAAGTAACTGAAAGGCCCCAAATCTGTTAAAGTCAACCTTGTTTCTCTTTACAAAAATATTACTTGTTACTGATCTAAAGGATCCATTGAGAATTCACCTAATTAGGAGAGCAGATACTCTGTGACTCTTAATATATTATTTATTATGAAAACATTATCACTGAAGCTTAAGTTTTGATTCAGCCTCTTACTTTAAAAAATGAAGCAGAACCATGTTTTATATGATTATAACCCTCCTCTCTGTACATTCTAAAGAGCATGAATTCCAGGCACATCCATGGGGGTAAAGCATAGATATATAGCTCCTTCCTTAATAAGGAGTCAAGACACAATTCTCCATAAAGAACAACTATTAATGGTTGCTTTCAGTAGTAATTTGTCTCCTTTTGGAGTATGATGCTTGCCTGTGAAAAGTGTCCAGGCTGCAAATGCACATCCTTGGACACCAGTTAACAAGTCTGATGACGTCAAGACTTTCAAGGTGAATCAGAGGTAGCCAACACCCGGAACCATTGTGCTTTGTCCTTTGAGCGCTGGTGCCTACAGGGAAGTGTTCATTTCTATAAGACACCTTTGATTTTGCTTCATTTTCCTCATCTTTATTATGTAAGCACCTACTTGGAGATTTGTAATTAAATCCACTCCATAGTCATTATTTACTGGAAAATGAATGTTACTCATTTTTTTTACTTTAAATAATTTTTTGATATGTCTCTCTTTTTATAAAATGTATGCTGTTCTAATTTACTAGTGAGTACCATGGAATGCTGTTTTTTTAATATATTATCAATCTTTCTGCTCATATGAAATAGTAGAAATGATACTAGAAACACCAGACTTTTCTTCCCTAGCTCCCTATGTCCATTCAGTGCTCTATGTTTTACATTCCAGCTCAGTATCTACTTGGCTATGGATTAAGGACTACAGACTTGTGAATTTATCGCATCTATGATTTACATTATTTCTAAGCAGTACTAGCAAAGTCCTCTGGAGGAGGAAGCATACTTCTTATAGAACTCCACAAAATAATCTGCTTTGGTCATCATATTGTATCAGATATACCAAAATGAGAATAGAAGGACCAAGCAAACCTCAAGAAAATGCCCACTGGCCTCTGAATTGAATGGCAACTACCATCTGAGTGGGGGCCCTTGGTGACAATGACTAAAGCTATCAGTCACCAAGTCTGCAGCAGAATCTGTGGACGTATGCAGCCGTTGTTCACAACTCTCTCCTGTAGTAAGTATGGTGCTATAGGAAACCATGACTCCCTAAGTGTGTGTATTGGTGCAGGGAGAAATGGTGGTCCCTTTGATTCTACTCCCAACAACCAGAAAATAGTGCCCTAGATAAGTGCTCTAAAACATTTCTCAAAAGAGTCTACAGTATACCTAGGAACACAGCAGGAGGGGTGGGCTTTTTATTTGATCTTTTGCTATCTGGGAAACATTTTATATATGAAAAGTGCTTTTTTATTATTATTCAATTGTACAGAGTGAATACAGTGTTTCCAACGGATAGCATGCTTACACTGTGTTTGCACCCTAATCTTTAGAATTTCAGTCTTCATCCTAGCAAGACCAGCATCAGGTTTTGAGCTGTTCTTAGTTTCACAGGAATTACAATATGCCCTGATGAAGACTTTAGGGGCTCCATCTCTTCTGTATTCTTTCTTTCCTTTTTAAAGAAATGATGAGGGTAAAGAAAGAAATATATTCCTTCATATCCACATTGCTTTCTTTCAGCAATCTGTTTCCTACTGTGACCACACACAACACACACACACACACACACAATATACACACATGTATTAATAATAAATTTGGGTGTTTGGTTGTTTTAGAAGCATTATTTTGCTTAGATTGAAAAATATCAAGTGATCACTTCATGGAATGCCAATGAAATCAAAGCATTTAGAGGACAGCGAACTTAGCAACTTTTCAACTATATAGGCATTAAAGTTCCTTCTCTTTCTTAGGTAAGCAGAAATATCCTTGGGATGCAAAATTCACAGTACCCTGAAATAAAATATTTGCTAGATTATCGCTCAGCAATGAAAATTATATGATGGTGAAATGATTTCTGTCTATAGTGTGTAGTGATCTCAAATATATTTTTACAAATTTAACCATATTTCTCCCTTATGGAGCCTAAAGAGGTATCTTTGTTTTCTGGTGCCCACTGATTCTAGTGAGGACAGTGTGTGTGTGTGTGTGTGTGTGTGTATGGTGTGTGTGTGTGTGTGTTTATGTTGGGGAGAAGTGCTAACATTGGATGCTCCAGTGAAGAGACTAGCTAGGGTAATCAGACACAATTTGGATAGAGAGCAGGCTTGTAGTACTTTGAAATAACTGATTATCATGAATACCTGTTTTGATTGCATGTGTATTGTTGCCTATGAAAGAATTAATTGTGTGATAGAAAACAATCTCTTGTTGTTGGAAATAGAAAATCTTTATATTGAAAGTCTTTGTGAAAGTTTCTAACTTATCTATCCATAAAAGTATCTCCATGACCGCATCGGGCAAATAGGGTGGATGACCTGGTTCCTCACTGACTTTCCTTTAAACTGAGTATCTTGTTAACCAGTCATTTTGCCCCCGACTATACCAGTCACTTGTCACTCAGTCGCTTCAAAGCAAGTTTTTAAAAGGTAATGGCTGCGAGTCTGTTTCACTGAACCTCAAAAACAGTTGGAAGTTGTATATAACCTAAGGATTGATTTCCACGGAGAAGCAGACAAGATGGTTTTGGGGGTCGTTTTTAAAGTGAATTTACCTAGGACAGATAATTAAAAAGAAGGGATGACCAAGAAAATGTTCAATTCCAGAGGCTAAGAAACAAAGATCTAATTCATCCCCGATTGTTTTATTAAGAAACTACAAACATTTATCAAAGACAGACACACGGGCTCTGTGTTAAAAGAATGAGACCTTTCAGATGTCCCCTCACAGAGGCAGTGGATGCACTCCTACTGGATACACAAAACAGAAGATTTATGGTATTCTCAATTATTTGCATCTCTAACTTTTGAATATGAACTGTCCAACTAATAGTGAATAAATTCTGTGGAGACACTTTAACATTGTGGTTGAAAATAATCCTGTCTTGGGAGTATAGGCCAAAAAGGGCAGGGCTTACTTGCTTAATTTTTGTTGTAATTGCAATTTTTGAAAAATTAATATCTATGTGCTTTTCCAGTAGCATCCTGACTAGCACTAATTGTTCCATATATAATTTGTCTTGGTCAAGATCCCAAAGTCTGAATTCCTTAAATCTTCAATAAAACAATGTGAAGTCTTCAAATACTTGAATTGAAGACAGTACATTTAAGTTGTGATGTGTTTTTGAAGTTATAAGGGTTCAATTAGTAGTTTACAAACTCAAATCAAAATAGGAAAAATGGGACTGTTTTGATTGTTTTGAGATTTTTTTAGAGGTCTGATTAATCACTTACACACAGCCTTGCTCCATGATACATTGAGACTGTCTTTTCAAAAATTAATTTAAATATGGGTTTAAAAAATTGCACTCACATACACACAGCACACAGCTGACATGGTGTGTGCCACAGGGTGTGACTCAGTGATGTGGAAGCATTGGATTCAGATCCCTTTCCTATCAAATGCATGCAGCGAGAAAGCCTGGTGGTTACTATCTTGGGTTTGTTCTTCATAACCTGCTTCTGATTCTTGCCTTTGCAAATAAAAGAACAGAAAATAAGCATATTTACTCCAAGTAAAACAAATGGGAAGAATATGAGTACTCATTTTAAAAATCACTATACTATGTGGCTACTGTGTATACTTTAAGATAATTGGGGAGACATGCCTTTTCACTTTTTTCAAGTGTGCAATTGTATACATTAAATCTGATATAAATGAAATCCTTAGTAATTAATAGTTGTTACACTTTTATAATCCATTTGACCATATGTTAAATAAAGAATATGAGATAGAGAAGAATATATGCAAAATGATCAATAGAATATTTCCAGCCCATTATTTTATATATACATTTTTAAATAGATTATGATCTACTTGTTTTCATTTATTTGAAAGGCAGAGAGACAGAAATATCCGATTTACTTCCCAAATGCCTGCAACAGCCAGGGCTGGACCAGGACAAAGTCAGGAGCCTGAAACTCAATGCAGGTCTCCCATGTGGGCGGTAAAGATCCAAGTACTGGAGCCATCACCTGCTCCCTCCCAGGGTGTGCATTAGCCGGAAGCTGGAAACAAAACCAGTGTCCCAAGAAGACTCTTAAGCACGATATCAAATGCCCACCCTCGAATTGCCATTTTTATAAAATGTACTGAGAAGCATTCTCTTGTGTGCCTCTGATAAAAGATGTATTTCAAGGAGTGTACGTGTCTCCATTATCTTCCAAGAAACCACTTCAAAATGTCATCCACTCATCCCTGGGTATTTAGAGACCATTGGCAACATGTCCTGCAACATTCCAGTAAAGATTAGTTCCACTATGATTGTGTTTTCTATGGAGGTGGGGGGAACTTCACATTGCTTATTAAAAAGTAAGACGTGAAGAAATGATGGAATTTCGTCTTGACTTTGTCAAGTACATTCTCATCCATGCAGGCAACCCGTGTGTATCATTTCCTCGGGCCGTGTCCTCAGTGGCCTCTGCTGCAGCCAGGCACTCGGGTTCCCTGAGGCGTGTTCTTCCTGCATGCACCCCTTATCTCACTTTCCTTTTATTAAACAGGGACTTTTCATCTGAAATGAGAGTGTAATGTGATTTTGTAGAGAAAAATAGCTTTGTTCATTTGAGTTGTGCTAGTGCAGGGATAAACTAGAACCTTTCAAATGTAAGTGATAATAAAGTTCATGACTTCAGCCAGTATCTGCTCCTATCCAGACATCCCCTCGGGCCTGTTAATTCTCCTTCCATTGTTAGCAGAGTTTTCAACAACAGCACCCCTTTCCATTTTGTAAGAGAAAGACAAAACCATCTATTTATGTAAAAGAACAAAACAATGAACACAACCAAGTGATCTTTCTCTAAGCAATGAACAAGAAGCAAACCAGGATCAAGTAATGTTTGTAAAGGTTTCAAGGAAAATAATAACTTATTAAAAATCAAATCAACCTAAGACTAAAAATATTGTAAGGAAAGATTTTCAAGTAGTTTACACAATACAGTTTTTTCCATATCTATTTTCTGTAAATTAAACTTTTTTTAATAAATGTTTCTTTTTGTTTGATGTTCTTATAATTATAAACTGGGTATTAATTATTTCTGTTGAGCTCACACATTTAAATATGCACGTTTACTTTTGCCATGTTTTCCAACTTGAAGCAAAGCTTATGAAAATCTGTGTTTAAAATGAAACAAACAAACAAAAAAAAACAAAGAGAGAAATAGCAGTAAAAGGGAGTCATACCTTTTTACCTATCCTCGTTTTCTCATTGGTAACTTCCCCTAAGAGCTCCCATCTTTTAGGTTAAACCTACAGGGAGGTATCAATTAAATACGGGAACAGATGCAAAAATTTTTTTTTTTTTTTTTGACAGGCAGAGTGGACAGTGAGAGAGAGAGACAGAGAGAAAGGTTTTCCTTTGCCGTTGGTTCACCCTCCAGTGGCCACTGCGGCCGGCGCACCGTGCTGATCCAAAGCCAGGAGCCAGGTACTTATCCTGGTTTCCCATGGGGTGCAGGGCCCAAGCACTTGGGCCATCCTCCACTGCACTCCCTGGCCACAGCAGAGAGCTGGCCTGGAAGAGGGGCAACCAGGACAGAATCTGGCGCCCCGACCGGGACTAGAATCCAGTGTGCTGGTGCCGCAAGGCGGAGGATTAGCCTAGTGAGCCACGGTGCTGGCCAGATGCAAATTTATTTTGAAAATTAAAACTGAATACAAGGCATAACAGTCTTCCTTGGATCCAAGTAACGCAGATAGCTGAGAAGCATACCATGGAGTTTGAGAAATGAGGCATTCTTAAAAAAATAAAATAAAAGTTGCTCATCCAGCAGATTCCAGTTTAAAATATAAAACGAATGAGCATTACTCTGAGTCCTTCCTGCAATGAAAAAGAAGCGGCGCCTCATGCCACGAACATTTCCTAAACAGATAGTTGTAATGATTTTCTCTTTGCTTTCTGCTTATCTGCTTAAGATAGTGCTATTGAAAGTATGAAAAGGAACAAAATAATCAACCAGAAATTTTACTATGTTAAGACCACAGTAAGTTGTACCTTTGTATATTTTCATTTTTCCCGAATGTGACCATTTTTATAGCATTATTTTCCTACTATTTGTATTATAACTTAAAATATTTGTCATATTCCATGGCAACACATTGTCTTTGTAAATATTTAAAAGCTATATGAATTCTAGTCTATTCTTATATTTATTTATATATTCTAGTATTATTTGACTTGATTGAAATTACTTCAGTCTATTCATTATCATACGTAAACTGACAACTAATATGTGTTACTTTTTCTTTCTTTTGGAAGGAAGTTGCAGGTCTATGAACCAGTTTAATAAGGTCTGTAAGCCCTTGAAATTGTAAGTACTGCTTGTGTGTAGATTAGTATGGGATAAGAGCGAGTCTGTAACCAAGAATTGCATAAGGTTTGTAAAGAAATCTGCGAGCCTCAATGGTCAAGAACAACTTCTTTAAATAATTTCCTGGTTACTTAGCGCAAAAAAATAGTCTGCTGGCTTAATTTGTATGACCACTTTGAAAAGTCATTGTAGATGTTATTCAGTTGTTTTCTAGAGTGGCTGATATGAGTTTTAACATCACTTGAGCTTACTGTA